TGGGCTGAACGGTCCAAGTCTAATCACAGTGTGTAGCTGGCCCCTCCTTTGAAACTATCTGAGGGGGTGCCTGGCTGGCTCAGTCAGCAGAGCATGTGACTCTTGATCTCAGGGTCATGAGTTCAAGCCCCACATTGGATGTAGAGATTACTAAAAATAAATAAATAAATAAACTTAAAAAAAAATAAACTATCCCAGGGGCCACCTTGAGTCATCTCATTAGCATAAACTCAGGTATGGTATAAAGGGGCTCCTTATGAATAACAAAAGACAGTCCTATCTCTCAGGAAATTCCAAGCTCTGTGCCAGGAACTGGAGGCAAAGGTCATGCTTTTTCTTTAATTCCTTTGTTTTTAAAGACGTATTTACTTATTTGACAGAGAGCACGTGTGCGCATGCGGAGGGAGGGGCAGAAGGAGAGGGAGGGAGAGAATCCCAAGCCGACTCCACCTGAGCACAGAGCCAGAAGTGGGGCTCAATCCCACAACCCAGAGATCCTGACCTGAGCCGAAACCAAGAGTAAGGGGGTTCACCAACTAAGCCACCCAGACGCCCCAATCATATACATTTTTTCATTATACCCCAATTCACCAGGAACCACAGTCCGGGACTGACACTGTGCCAACTGCCATCCGCCTTCCCTTAATAGAGCCACCTGCCCGGATCTCAAGGAAAGCTTCCTGGCTCCCCATCACTGTATTCCTCACACCTGTCAGGGCAGCCTGTCTGCTTAACTGGAAACTCTCCCTCCTCCAAGGTTCTGCCTACTGGACTCATAGTCATAGCTGGGCCCGTCCCCACCACCCCAAGCCTGCCTCACTCCAGGGGTCTGTTCTCCTTCCAGCACTCAGCCTACCCCAATAGGAACTGGGGTATAGGAATGAACTGTGTCATGTTCTGCCAGATACCCATATGACCCAAACACGCCCAAAGGACATTTGACCTTGCCAGTCATGGGCATAGCAGGCCACAGGCTTTGGCGTGGAAGAAGTTAAGGAGAATTGGGTCAGTATGAATCACAACATGAAAAAATCTATAGGGTATTAGATTTAGAGAAATTACTCTCCAGTATTATTAGAACACCTCTCTGGCCAGGCCAGCTAGGCCTGTTTCAGCGTTTCCATTATAAATCCTATTTCCAAGGGTTTATCACTTGCTGTAAAAATTCAATCGAGGCTGAAAAGCAACATAGTTTGCAATCCAGGAAGCAGTTGGATTCAAAGAGAGGTTAAAAAGTTGAGAAGGAACAAACAGAAAAGAGAAAAAGGAAACGTTGTTTAAAAAGAAGCCAGCTAGAGCATTGCCCTGCTTTTCTGCTGTCATGAGACTTAATTTTGTTTTCAAATTTGAGTTTTCACAGGTACTAACTCCCATATGCAAAGAAGCCTATGAGCACATCTGGCTCCATGATGTGCTTTCCTTTTGGAAAAGCCAGTAGCAGCAGGTGTTAAACCTTGCCCTGCGGGGGTTCTCTGGGGAGCAAGGCCCCACCTCACCACTGCGTTCAGGAAAACTGTTGGGGAGCATACATCGAATCTTTGTTGGATCCGTAAAAGGCAGGGAAGGTACAGTAAGTTTACACTGTCTGATGAGGTAAAGGCAAATTACAGTCCAATTATTTCCCGAAAATAAAGCAACTATCTGTGTCTCTCTTTCGTACCCTCCAGAGCACCCGAGACTTCCACAGATCTGTGACTATTTATCCAGTTACAGTTTCATCATAAAGTGGCCCAAGAGACAGCTGGCACTTTTGCCAGCATCATCCCTAATTCACTTCCCGAGGAGAGGATGCTTCTGTTAGCTCAGAAATACCACCTCCCAAACCTCGGAAGTACATACTCGGAATGCACAATTCACGAAAGTCCAGCCTGTCTAGTTCGAAAATGGGTCTTTGCCCCTGGTTTTCTTTTTTTTTTTAAAGATTTTATTTATTTATTTGAAAGCAAGAGAGGGAGAGAGCACGAGCGGGGCGGGGGGCAAGGGGAGAGGAAAAAGCAGACATCCCGCTGAGCAGGGAGCCTAAGAAATCTTAGGGTAGTTTAGGGGAGCAAGGAAAAAACAGCAACCAGTCTTTGGGTTCAGACTTTCTCATAGGAGGAAGGATGAGGCAATCTAGTTGGGAGGAGAAAATAGGGAACTTGTCTTGGCTCTAATTACACATTCAGTGATCCTATAGCTCCTTAAATCGTTGGGTTATTTGAGGGAGATTTAAGAGAGGACTGATGGGAATTAGGTGGGGGACAGCAATGCCTGTCCAGTTCTCGATGGTGCTACAAAAGTGAGATTCTACATTCAGGGAGGTGGTCTGTCTGAAACTCACATCTGACCTCAAGCGGCAGGGTTGAATAAAAGAACAAGGAATGGAATTTGTTTTTATTAAGCATCCTTGCTGTTCTAGACATCATGCCAGGTTTTTATATATCATTTCATGGAAACCTTATGAAAACCCTATGATGTTGATATGTATTATCTCTGCCCCTTTAAAAGATGAGGAAACTAAGACTGATTAACTCCCTGGAGGTTAAACCACAAGCAAAGTGGCTGAGGGGAGATTGACTGAATCGACACCTTTCCAATTCCCAAGCCTTGGATCTTTCCACATCAGCTCTGAGCAATACTTCAATGGGTAAATTCCAGAACAGAAATGAATTTGAGTCTGAAAGTTTCAAGCACGATGTTATCTGGAGTTGGACCACGGAGAGGTCCAGTAATCATCTGCACAAAAGAAGGCAGACTTTCATTATGCTGATTCCTCAAATCTAGAAAAATAAACTTAATTTCAGAAAATAAAAAGCTTCTGGGATTGTAAAGAAAAAAAAAAGCATCCAACCATCTCTCTAATTTTATATATGAACAGTCTCACTGTGAACTGTGAAAGATAAGACCTTCTCACTTTTAAAGGTAGTGTTGGTAATTAAGCTATTGTCTCTCTGCTCTCAAGCCGCCCCGCCATGCTCTGTGATTCCAGAGAAGCCTGCAAGCTATTTCTGCTTCGCACGCCGATTTTGTCTACAGGATTCTGCCAATAGGGGGTGCTACGGGGAGACTGGAAAGCTGCAGGAGGGGGAAGAATCTGCTTTGGTTTTTGCTTTCTGTACCTACAGTAGTAGTTGGTTCCAGTTTCAAATGTTTCCCATGCTTCCAGAACCAGCGGCACAGCACCTCTCCAGAGATACCGGTACCTCTAGAATCTTCTAGATTCTAGATGCTAATAACCCCAGGCTCATGCTTCTGTTCCCCCAGCTGTAGAGGTAGTAGCTTCTTCCTGAAGCTGCTATTCCGGTGTTACCTCAGCATTTCCTTTTGCCTTTAAATACTTAAATACCTGTTTAACAAATTCCTTTTATTAAATCCTCTATTAAAATAACGCGTGGTTCTTTTTTCCTGAATGGGCCCTGATGGATCCAAAGTTCTCTAAAGGAAGCTTCTTTAACTGCTTTGAAGTTCAATTCTCTTTGCTGCCTGGAAATTCTTTTTTATAAGGTGTCATACTAAAAATTAACCTAAATCATTTTGCAATATGTATATAGTGCAAATAATGATATATATGTATCAAATCATTATGTTGTACACCTAAAACTAATAGAATGTCATATGTCAATTATATCTCAATAAAAACAGTAGATTAACCTAGTCTGTCTCCAGCACTTACTTGTGATGTGACATTAAGCATGGTAACTTTTCTAAGGCTTGATTTTGTCACATCTAATATTAATATCTACCAAGTATTGATATGAATTATTAATTAACATCTACCACAGGGTGTTAATATCTATCCAGTAGGGGTATAGTGAGCACTGGATGGAATGATCCACATGCATGCATCAAGCATGACAGCAAGTGCCTACAGATGCTTGTGATGAACACATAGGTGGCTGCCAAGCATCCCTACATTGGGAAAATCACCTCCCCAATTCCATAGTAATCCTGCTTCATCCCTATTTTTTGAGAAGATAATCTTTCAACTGAAGGTGAACACATGCTTAAACATGTCAAAGTAATTCACCTCCCTGGCCGCAGAGAGTTCAGGGATGGATCTGTGTTCCAAGTCAGACCAATTAGAATTGCCAAACCATCACCATGAGTGTTCCTGCGATTTGAGGAATAATCATGTTATTTCTTGCCCAACAGTTCTGATGCTCAAACTGTAAAGTCATATGAGCTCAAGATTCCAGGTGCCATCTTTCCCATCACGTTGGTGACCAACTCACCCTGGTTTGTTTGGGACTTCTTTGGTTTAAAATCTAAAAGTTCTGTGTTCTGGGAAACCCCTGAGTCCCAAGCAAACAGATGATTGGCCACCCTACCACGGTGCAGGCATGTGAGAGAGAGCAGCCCCTACAAAAGCAAGCAGGCATTTCTCCAGAGAAATACAAATGGCCAACAAGCACATGAAAAGGTATGCAACATCATTAGTCATTAGGAAAATTGCAAATCTAAACCACAATAAGGTGCCACTTGCCACCCACTGAGATGGTTATCATCAAAAAAAGAAGTAGGGAGAGATAACAAGTGTTGGTGAGGATGTGGAGAAATTTGGACCTGTGCATATTGTTGGTGGGGATGTAAAAATGGTTCAGTCGCTAAGGAAAACAGTTTGGTGCTTTCTCAAAAAGCTAAACATAGAATCGCCATATAATCTTGCAGTTCCATCCCTAGGTATGTACCCCAAAGAATTAAAAACAGGTATTCAAGCTAAGTATATGTACACACATGTTCATGGCATCACTATCCACAATAGCCAGAAGACGGAAACAGCCCAAATGTCCATCAGTGGAGAAATAGATAAACAAATTGTGATGTATATATACAATGGAATATTCTTCAGTTATAAAACAGAAGAATGAAGTACCGATATATATACTACAAATACGGATGAACCTCCAAAACATGATGCTAAGTGAAAGAAGCCAGACATAAAAGGTCATATCTTATTTGATCCCATTTATATGAAATATCCAAAATAGATAAATCCATAGAAGTAGAATACAGATTAGTGGTTGCCAGGGACTGGTGGGGGGGGTTGTGAAGAGGGAAAAACGGCCTCGTGGGTAAGGGCTTTTACTTCCGAGTGATGACGACGTTTTGGAGCTAGACAGAGGTGATGGCTGCACAACATCGTGAAGGTGTTACAATTGTTCACCTGAAAATGGTTAATTTTATGCGATGTTAATTTCATCTCAATAAACTATTTTGAAAGAAAGAAAGAAGGGGTAGAAGGAAAGAAGACAGGCAGGCAGGCAAGCTGGCCAGGAGATGAAGAAGGAAGAAACTGGGTCCTAAAAGCATGACTGAGGGGACGCCTGGGTGGCTCAGTCAGTTAAACATCTACCTTCGGCTCAGGTAATGAACCCAGGATCCTGGGACAGCGCCCCACATCAGGCTCCCTGTTCAGTGGCGGTTCTGCTCCCTCTCCCTCTGCCCCTCTGCCCCTCCTCCCTGCCGGCATTCTCTCTCTCTCTCAAATAAATGAATAAAATCTTAAAAAAAAAAAAAATGTGACTGAGGACTTGGATCCAATCTTCTCTCAAGTGGAGAGCCCAGGATCTTGTCAGTTAAAAAAAACCCAATAAATTATTTTTTCGCTTGAGGAAGTCTGAGTTGGGTTTCTCTCCTTTTCAACCAAGGATTCTGAATAATATTACCTTCAATTACCACTAATTAATTTTTAACCCAACACCCACTAAAATGTCATCTAGTGCGGCAGAAAACCCTCAAGCCTTGCTTGAAAAGTCTTTTTTGACTGGTATCTACACCAGAATAAGACATAAAACTTTAGAAAATCCGCTGGCAGAAGTCAAAGATGTAAGATACAGAATTCCCCATTCTTATCAACAATAGCAACAAAATGGCAGATGCATCCTACCAAAGAAATTCCACCATCTCAACCCGTGGTGAGGGAATGCTGAACAAATAATCTGAACATCAATCCTCTTGTACTTCAGACCTTCTCACTCCTCTCTCATAATCACCTTGATGTTTCTTATGGATTATTAGTGAAGAGCTAATCACTTTTTAATGTTGTAGGCTGGGGTTTGTTAGTTTATAATTCAATGGCTCTAACTGAAGGCAACTAATTGCCTCCATGAAAATTTGATGGAATTCTGTCAGGTGTCCATCTGGATCTCAGAATACCCCTATAGCCAGTGAGTTCATCGGTTTGCTAATTTTCTTCAAGAGGATTGAATTTTATTAACTTCCCTTGCCCTCAGTGGCTAGCTTGATCACACGGAGATTGTCATGGGCTTTGTGATGAGGGAGCAGAAGGCTCGCTGAGGACAAAGCTGAGGCTGACACCCCACGAAACCCCCCCCATGTGACATATGTGACATTCCTCAGGCACTCCTGGCTGCCCTAAAGGAAAAGCAAATGGTTAACTGATAGAGATCACAGTCCTGCAGGACAGGAGTCTCCCTCAGTTTATTTACAAATGTCCTAGTGATTTACAAGGAGGAAGCTTTCTTATCAATAACATAACTTCCAGAGACCCATAACTCAGTTTCCTGAAGCCCTAACATCACCCTTCCCTACATGAAATTGAGGGAGGCTGAGGCAGAAGGAAATGTAAATAAAATTGAATTTCTTTTGAACCTGAAGCCTATTGACAAGAACATGTGATAGGAGGAATGTAACATTCCTCCAGGAAACTCCCAACTGTCTTCTTGTTAGTGCCTCATTAGAGGGAAAAACAGCCTTGGCTTGACAATAACCAGGCCTCCAGTGTCCTGGGAGTCTTTAGCATATGACAGTCCTTCTGGACACCCTCTTTGTCCTCACCTCCCCAACTCCCAAGTATATAATCAGCCACCCCTCCCAACCGCGGGGCAGCAGCTCTTTCTGCCCCCAGGTCCTGTCCCCGTGCTTTAATAAACCACCATTTTGCAACAAAGATGCCTCAAGAATTCTTTCTTGGTCGTTGGCTCCAGACTCCACCCCAGTGAACCTCACCTATATTCCAAAACTACATCACTGGGGTAATTTAAAATTCCACCAAATGGGTGGAGTCCTCATATGTGCTAGTCAGAGAAAACCTGATACAATGTTGCCAATGGCAAATAGCAACATCTCACCAGTATGGGGCCAAACACAAACAGGGGAGTCTTTTAACTTCTGGCCTCAGGGTTCTAAGAGTGTTTGGAAGAGATTTCTAAGGTCTTCATCAGCACTGAAATTTTGCCTTCTACATATCAGAATGAGATTAGTTATTAACTGATTTCACCCATTATAAAAGAAACATGGTAGAAATCAGTATTCCCATCTTACAGTTGTATAAGTTGGAGCAACAGCTCAAGGTATTAGAGCCCAAAATAAAAGCAAGATCTTTTATCAGCCTGATAGTGTTCTATTCATGTATTTATTCAGTCATCAGACCATACTTACCAGGGTAATTTTGGTGGGGAATGCTCCAGAATGCTGTTCCATAACCTCCTTGTTTGAGACAGAACACCTGTAGGAACATTTCAGAACCTCACAATTAACAGACATCAATTGCTAGAATAATAAAACACTACTATACACCAAAAAACTGAAGTGATCAAAATTAATGACAAATTATATGAAGATTTATAATCTGTGTAATACATGGAATCATACATTTATAAGATACTTTTCTTGGGTGAGAGTTCAACTACTTACAAGCTAGAGGATTTGATATAAGGCCAGCTTATTTCACATTCAACATCCATCCTATGGAACTACAAGGAAGATAGGGAAAAGCAGTGAATTTTGTATTTATTAGTTTGTGACACAAAGGAGCTAAACATAAAATATTAAGGTGACATCAGCTGGAGTGTCAGTCAGTAATGGATACTAAGACATCACTGGAAATGTAATGAGGTGGGAAAAAAAGGTATTTTACAAAAACCCTTTTCAGGGTGCTTGTCTATGTGATTGGAAGAAATGTTTTTAAAAAGCACTTGGGGTTAGATGAGCCCTTCCCCACCCAGGAACACATACCAGTAACTGAATGGCATATTCACGAGCTGCCTCTTAAGAAGGGTGATGGGATAATGCAGACACTTCTCCTACCCAAGTTGGGAGCACAATTTGGGAGAGGATATGAATTACTCAGAGCTATCATCTACATTTTTTTCCCCATCTGCAGTCTGCATTCTTTCCCCATGAGACAGGTTGTTGGCCTCTGATGAACAAATGCTTAAGAATATCAGATTGATAGGACACCACTTTACTAGCATGTTCCTGGGATGCTCCCATGTGTTAGCCCAGCCTTTCCAGTACACACACTCCTCTTGGGTCTGGGAAAGCAGAGCCTACAGGAAAGGAATCTCACGCAGTTAGGTCCTGGACAGCCCAGCAGAGTCCTTTCTCCTTCCGTTCACCTTAAGCTATGACTGTTTGTTCAAACAATGGAAGGAGGAGCCAGAGGGGACAAAGCACATGATAACTTGGTGAAAGCACAGAGGTTCTTATAGTTAATCCTTTTTTTTTGCTTTGAGTAGGTGACTTAGGATAAATAGTTCATACAGTTAAAAACTTCATTCATTAACATTAAAGGTTATTTATTAAAACATTAAGTAACTGACTAAGTTTAAAAAATTAAACATAAGCTGGGGCGCCTGGGTGGCTCAGTCGGTTGAGCCTCTGACTCTTGATTTCGGCTCAGGTCATGATCTCGGGGTACCGCGCTCAGCATGGAGTCTGCTTGGGATTCTCTCTGCCTTCTGCTCCTTTCCCTGCTCTCTTCATCTCTCTCTCAAAATAATTGAATAAAATCTTTTTAAAAAATTGATCACGAGCTGCTAAAAAATCAAATGAACGTAGGGGCGCCTGGGTGGCTCAGTCGGCTAAGCCTCTGCCTTCGGTTCAGGTCATGATCTCGGGGTCCTGGGATCAAGTCCCGCATGGGGCTCCTTGCTCAGCAGGGAGCCTGCTTCTCCCTCTGCCTCTGCCCCTCCCCCACTTGTTTTCTCTCTCTCTCTCTCTCTCTCTCTCATGGCTGCAAGTACTTGGGAGCCTGATCTCTCTCTCTCTCTCTCAAATATGTAAATAAATAAATCTTTAAAAAAATAAAATGAATGTAAGAAATCTATTATCAGTAAGGACTCTTAGCATCTCTGTGCCCACCACGGTGTTGGGCACTGGGGATCCACAAAAAAGCCAGCACAGCCCCTCCCTCCCCTCCCTGCAAAGTGCTTTCAGTGCATTGAATAGTTTTCAGCAATGGCCCTGGACCTTAGTTTTCATCCCTGCCCAAATCTGTCTTTTTCTCTACATATAGTGCTCTTTCAGAACGTGCCAGAATCCCCCCAAGCCAAGAGATTCAATTGTTCGACAAATATTTATCGTGTATCACTCTGCACCGGATACTGCAGCAGGTGCTGGAGATACAAGGATGGATAAGATGAAGCGTGGACCCTTGGGGAGCTCAAAGCCAGGAGCAAGCTCAGACAACTTTGCTAACATATTGGAATGGAGGTGGTCACACAGATCCGGAGAGGGGAGATCAAAACTGCATAATCGGATTCCATCTAGTGATGGATGGTGATGATAAACTACAGTGCGCTAAACCCTCTGTGTTCACAGTTTCCTTTATCCTCCAGCAACCCTGTGAAGTGCTAATAGCCCCCATTTTATGAGTAATGATATGCAGAAATGTTTGTCTTTTTGTTAACAGCAACTGGTCAGAGAATTCTTCTGCAAGTGGAAAGCTAGCTTTGTTGAAAAGCTGTTGGATAAACCCATTTATCCAAATCCAGAAGAATCAGCCTTCCAGGCAAGGGTACAGGGCTGGGCCCTAGACTTCCTTCAGGGTAGCAGAGGGAGCTACTTTACATAATAAAGAGAGGAAACAGTGGCTGCCAAGAAAATTAGGAAGAACAGAGCAAAAGCAGCCGAGCTCTGCATGGGGCTAAGTACCCCCGGAAAAGCAGCACTCCGGGCTAAGGTGTGGAAAAAAAACAGAAGACAAAAGGAGAGAAAAAACTAACGGAGATTTTCCCAGAAAAATGCTCCGTGCTTTGTGAAGAGCTCTCCCAGAGACCCCACAGGTATTCAGTAAACCTATTTGAATTTCTCGTGGAAATCAGGGAAGGAGCTGAATTTTGCCTCGACATTGACAAAGTGCTGGATACACTGCATACACTAATGAGGGGAAGGGTGGGAGTCTTTTTTAGGGAAAAAAATGGGAAAGCTGCAATGTACAGAGATTGATCTAAAAGCCCAGGCTCTGACCCCTTTCAAGGTACAAAAATTTTGAGACGCCAGAGAATGATCGGCTTCTTAGGGAGATGAGAACATGGTCTCTAGTCATGAGCTGAAAAAGCTACCCTTGCCAGAATGTATGTCCCTATAAATGAAAGATTTTGGAGTCAGAAAAGGTAAGATCACAGGAACAGATCATATGAGCAAAGGGCTGTTAAAAAGGAAGCATTTCAGGGACCCTGTAACAAGAAAGAAAGAAAGAGAAAGAGAAAGAAGGGAGATTCATACCTGGCCGCAATGAGTCTGTGAAGGAAAAATGCTGAAGCCAATCACCACAGAAAAGTGGGAAAGCCAAGGAGAGAAAAAAGAAGGAAAATGGGACGGTGCTGTGGGCCAAGAACCTGAAACAAGATGAAATTCAGAGGTTACTTAGTGGAGAATTAATTTTAATGAATTTTATTCGACATATATATACAGCTTGAAGTATATCTTTTGTAAGATCTGGAGGGCTGAGCTCTACCTCCTGGAAGGGATGTGAATTTGTAGCTAAAAGAAAAGAGAATTTTCAAGGGATTGTGAGGTTGAACAGGAAACGCGTTCCATCTCCAAGGCCTCTGCTTTCTCATGCTGCCTTTGTGCTGAGAAGCGGGGTGAGAGGAATTTGTATCATTATCACTGAAAGAAGCTCCCCAGTCTCGGTCACCTCGGGGCGTGGAGGAAAGATAGGGGAAGATGTGGTGTGTGTAGTCTCTCCCCCACATTTCTGCCGGACACCCGCCCACCTTGCGCCTCCCCCCGTCGCTGACCTTGTCCTGACTGCTCACACCACTCCCGTTTTTATTTCTCACCAATTATCGGGGCTTCGTCAGGGTAGATTTGTGCCCATGCAAATATAGATGCCTTCCCAGGTTTTTACCCGGTCTCCTTAAAGTCTCCAGTCTCCGAATATGACCTTTCCACTTAGAAGGATTTTATTAATTTGCAACTCCGCGATGGTCTCCAGGCCCTTACACTGCAATGAAGAGCATCAACTGTGTAATGTCAGAACGGCTCTTCGGCGTTCCTGAAACTTCAATATTGAAATGGGAGTTCATTTAAGTTGAAGGAAACAAAGGTTCCCGTGGCCACAATGTCAACAAATACTGAGTAATGGCCCCAGCTCACCAGAGAACTAAAGCCCGGCGTGTGATATTTTTTTTAAAGCACTAACTGACAAGTCATGAAATAGTTGAATTATTTTATACCATAAAGTGAAGAGAGTCTACCAGTGAATTTGAAGAGAGGGCAAAAAGCACAGGAATTATAAGGAATGCATTATGTAGATTCACTTTGGAATATGAATAGCAGAAATTTTTACCAGAACGCATGCTCCAAACCAAAGTTTTTGCCATTGAATAAAGTAATTATCGTTCATTAATCTTCGCAAGGATCATGAAAATGTGTTTATGATCAGGCTCCCAAGTACTTGCAGCCATGATTATAAGAACAGATTTGTCATCCCAAATAAGCAGATAATCTTCCTGTTTAATGAGCCTCTCTTCTTGGAGATCAAAATGCATTATGGGAACCTCAAAAAAAATGATGTTCCAAACACCATTTGTTACTTCTAGGTTTATCCACTGTGATTAAACTTTTAAAAAAAGCGTTTCTTCTACCTTATCCTTTTCCTCTCTTTTGAATTTCTTGCTCGTGAATCTAATTTCAAGCAATGCCTATGATGCCAAATAGAGATCCCAGAGTTTATTTCTCCTCCTCATCTCCTTTGCTATCATTCACAATATGCCACTGACCTGCTGCAGCACACAGAGGAGAAAGATACGACGGCAGGGCAGCAGGGAGAAGGAAACGCTCTGCACCTAACAGTCAAGGGTTTGAACCCCTCTTCTACCGACAATTACAAGAAAGTGTGTTTCATTTCTCAGCCACAGCTTCCTCGCCTGTAAAAGGGGGTAGGGTGGTTTCAATGATACAGTCGATATAAAACGTGGGTGTTCAACAATAGGGACTCACCTGCCCATGTCTTCTTATCCCTCTGTCTCCAGGAGGGTTCCCAGGATCAGCAGGCAGAGAAAGCACCTGTCACAGGCATAGAATGCACCTGTCCCCAGTCCAACTTTTATCACCTTGTTGGTTGCTATATCAGGGCTCCTGACAGTGGAAATGCACTGCCCGTGACCTAGCAAGGGACGTAGGAGGTCTTTAGTTGGTACCTGATTTGTCTGAATTCTTGAAGCACTCGGACTCTACACACTCTTATTTTGTATCATGGGTTAATTGCTTTGTGTTTCCAGTGGGACTAAAGTTTCTGGTCAGCATGGATTGGGTCTTACAGTGTTGAATTCTTTTAAAGACTAACATCCCATCAGCAAACTCAGCCATAAATACTATTTTTTATATAGATAATATTTCCTTCATTTTGTTACATTGTGAATTAGTTGTACTGTTTAAGGTAATGGTCCTGTAGTTTTTTTAGAGACCAAATAACAGTGTGTTAATTGAGATAGACATTTAATTCTTTCTCAGTAAGGATGCTGAGTGATAGGCAATCCAAGGGTGTTGGTAACTCTACTTCTTACCTGGTTGTTCCCAACTGTCCCCAAAGTGATGACTCCATCCACGTGGCTGAAACAGGCTCACCACCAATGGGAAGAAGAAAAAAGAAGTGGAAGTCAAGGAGCTTCTAAGAACCTGACCACAAACTTGCACACGTTACTCATTCTCACTCTCTATTGAACAGAACTTGATCAATGGCCACACTTAGCTGCAAGAGAAGCTGAAATATATATTATCTAGCGGCTGGAGGGAGAGAGAAGGGGAAGAGCATGTGCCTAAATAAAACCTGAGGGTTCTAGGACAGAGAGAAAGAAAGGAAAAGTGGAGCGTGGGGGCAATTAGTAATCTCTGTCACACTTGTCATATTTGAAATCAAAGGATGGCATATAAAATTCTAGATTATTGACTTCTTTAAAAAAGTAGATCTGACAACACAGGGATCAAATTTCAATGTAAAATAATGATTAGATGGCTCTGAGTATCAGCTGCTCCTTTCAGGAAGCTTTGTCTTAGCCCCTTATACATATCTGATACTTAGTTTCCAATTATGCATTCGCATCATTGCCAAGTCTCTGTAGGCATAAGCCTTCTAATGGACCGCCTAGTGTGCAGGGGCCCTCCACACACCAAGCATTCTCCCTACACTTTCTCCTTTTATCCTCAGCAATTTTGCAAGGATAAAAGCAATATTCTTTACTCTGTAGTATAACTGAGTAAATTAAGGCTCAGAAAGGTTGAATAACTAGCTAAGCTTATCTAGAAAGTGTCAAAATAAAAAAAAAAGTAAACCCAAACCTTTTTCTGTCTGACTCAAATGTCCGGGCTGGAAAGCAGGTGATAAGGGATGTCCAAAGAGAGAATTCGAATGTGTCAATTTACCATTTTCTTTGTTCAACTTCCTTCTTTCTCGCCCCCACGGTATCGTTAATCTTGACTCTTCCGACAAATGAACTCTGTTAGGTGATTAATTGGCCTTAGAGGAGTACATCTCAGACCACCGTACCGAGGGACCATGAACCTGCTTGGACTAGAGGACATGATGGAAATTCTCAACCCTCTGAAAGGTCCCGAGGTTTTCGGTGAAAAGCCAGCAGAGCACGTTCCCAGGTAGTTCCCAAACAGACCCTGCACTGTCCACTCTGATGCCTCCCCTCTCCTCGGTCCCCTCTGTTATTCCAACTTGCTAGCCACTGCCCTTCAGGGCTCAGGACAAATCCAGCCCCTTCAATGGTCTCCTGCCCTGTCTCTTAGGACTTTCAGTTCTCACTGTTGACTCTCAGCAAGCCACTCACATCCATCCCTCCTATCTCCCAAACTAGAGAGCAAGCTAGCATCACTGAGCTCAGTGCCCGACACAGAGCAAATCCTCAGTAAATCCATGGTAACTGATTAATGTTGTTAGATTAGATTTCTTTAAATGTCCTATCTAAAAAAAAAAATCAAATTAAAAAAATCTATAGCCTTGGTTTAGTGCTTTCTGTTCATAGCTTTTTTTAAAGATTTTATTTATTTATTTGTTTGAGAGAGAGACAGAGAGAGCAGGAGTGGGGGGAGAGGCAGAGGGAGAAGCAGACTTCCCCCTGAGCAGGGAGCCCAATGTGGGGCTCTATCCCAGGACCCTAAGATCATGATCTGAGCTAAAGTCAGATGCTCACCCAACTGAGCCACCCAGGCAGCCCTGTTTATAGCTTTATACATTACCATTTCTCCTTTTCCTCTGATAACTTCATGGTCACTGTGGGATGGGAAGCAGTGCAGAAGGAGTCAACGAGCATTTGCCTAAGTATCACTGGATCAAACCTTTAGCCTTGGCTCCCTTCATTCATTCATGAATTCATTCTTTCTACATTACTGGGCACAAACACACTGTGTGTCAGGCCTTGAGACAGACACAGGGAAGAACAAGATGGCGTTCTACCCTCAAGAACATCCCATTTTAGTGTGAGAAGGACACCCAAAAAAGGCAATTATATTACCGGGCAGAGAGGGCTCTGTCAGAGGAGAGGGAAGGAATCTCAAAATCAAGCTATGTGAAAGAGACTGTGCCTCTGTGCCTTGGTTTTCCCGCACACCAAAACAGAAATAACTATAGTCCTACCTTTGCCAGGCTTTATGCAATGAAATGAAGCAAAGTATTGGATTCGTAAGATATCACTGTGGTGCCCCTGAGTGGCTCAGTCGGTTAAGCGTCCAACTCTTGATTTTAGCTCAGGTCATGATCTCAGGGTTGTGAGATCGAGGCCTCTGTCGGGCTCTGTGCCAGGCATGGAGCCTGCTTAAGATTCTCTCCCTCTCCCTCTGCCCCTCCCCGCCTCTCTCTCTTAAAAAAAAAAAAGAAAAAGAAAAAGAAAAAAAGAAGATATCATTATGGAAATTTTCAGTTTTGTTCTTCCACCAGTCTTGACAACCTTCATTAATCTTTGTTGTTTGTATCCTTGTTTACCAAAAAAACAAAAAATAGCCAGTGACTCAGAGCTACATAACAATTAGAGATAAAGTTAATAAGAATCCAGATTTCTTAGCTGTTCTTTTTCAGCAATTGCTTACTGTTGAACTTGAAAGACCACTTTAAGTGAACGATAAATGGAAGCAAAAACTCATTGTCAGTATATTAAAAACATATATGTGCAGAGAATTCACATTTATTTTTAGATATTAAATTTGGGATAAGAGCACTTTTAGTCTGGAGGGTGGGAGACGGAGAGCAGCGGTGTCCCCAGCCCATTGCTGGTCTTCTTGAAGGATTCTGAGCGCCATGAGGACTGTGGCACAAGAGAGCTGGGAGGAGTAGAAGGATGGTCCTGATTTGTTTGTTTTTCTTTACATCAAGATACTGGTGAGCATCTAGAAAGTCTTAGAAAAATTAACAGTAACTACTATTTACTGAGTACTTACTAAGTGCCATGTGGTACTATGAGTGCTTGTATGTATTCCTTTATTATTTTCTCATTTATTTCTCACAACGACCTTATGAAGTACATTCTACTGTTAACCTCATTTTACAGAGGAGAGAACCAAAGGATCCTTGACTAGAGAAAACCCTCTGCTAACTTACATGGTCATTGTTTGAACCATCCTCTTGCCCAAAGCAAGGTGGGGAGAAAAAGAAAGGATTATTTTCACTGACCTTCTCCCCAAAATGTGGAATAAAGAGAACACACAGAGGAGGAGAATGCCTGAGCAAATGCAATAGAAACTTCCCCTACCAAACATCCTAGCATCCAACACGTCAGAGTATAGTCCCGTGAGGATAGCAAGGGAAAAGCAACCAGCATAATACGAAACTCATCAAGAGAAAAGCAGCACAGACCTGTGAGAAATGTTCCTGCTTCCTGCCACTCACAATTGACTCATGGGAAAAGGGAAAAATGTGGAGCTCTTGGGTGCCAATTATGTATTGTTGAAAACTGAAAACTAACAATGGTATTCACTCAAAAATCCATGAACTGACACGAGTCAGTTCTATGAGTGTAACAAGCACTGGCTAAATACTTCAAAATTTATTCTAATTAAAAAAATATATTATCATTTAAATCAAACCTGGGTACTGCTAATTGTTCTGTGACTCACTCAAAGTATGCTTTGGGCAAATTTCATTTCACTTATTTTCCCCTCCAATAAGCTGAGAATCTTGATTGTATCCACTGGAGCCTGTCACAGATAGGGGCTTGATGAGGAAAGGAAATAATGAATAATGGAGGAGTCTGAAGGGCGATACCTCGTTCTCAGCCTCCCATTTAGGAAGGAAAACTCCAAGATGCAACAAAGTCATCAAATTAATGGTCTGACCTGCATTGTGTGTAATAAAAACAGGCTGTGAAGTATGTCCCACTGGGACTATCGAGGACTATCAATTCCTGCTCTTGCAGGCAGCAGGCTAATTCCTCCAAACCCTGTTCAGACTCGATAGTGCGTTTGTTCATGGTAGCCCTGTTCCCCCAAGAGATGCCAAGCCCCCCACACATAGCTATGCAGAAACCGCTCCTCTGCCTCACATCTCAGAGGAAATAGAGGCCTCTTTCCTAAAGGGGAGCAGTTCTTTCTTTTTTTTTTTAATTAGTTTGGTATCTGAATATAGTTGACACACAATGTTACATTAGTTTCAGCTGTACAACATAGTGATTCCAAAAGTTTATACAGTATGATACACTCACCACAAAGAGAGCCCCATCTGTCTCCACACAATGCTATCACAATGATCATTGACTGTATTCCTTCTGTGCCTTATTCATTCCGTATGTGGGAGCCTGTATCTCCCTCTCCCCTTTGCCCATTTTGCCCATCCCCTTACTCCCTCCCCTCTGGCAACCGTCAGTTTATTCTCTGTGTTTCCAGCTCTGATTCTGTTTTTCTGTTTGTCTGTTTATTCGTTTGTGTGGGGTTTTGTTTTGTTTTGTTTTTTTAGATTCTACATATGGAGAGCAGTTCTTTCAATCAACAGACATTCACTGAACATGTACCTGGGGCCAACTACTCTGAATTCAAAGGCCGTCTCTTTTCTCCAGCAACTTACAAACTACTAAGACAGAATCATGGGAATGAAATGATAATGAAATGTGATTAGCACAACAGAGGTAAGTACCAGAGTCACAGGGAATAGAAAGCGAAGGTAACACAAACCACACTGTGGGAAAGGGACAAGGGAGAGTGTCAGGAAAGACTTCTCCAGCTAATGTGAGTCATGTCTGAACTGGGTTGTAAAGGATAATCAAGAGCTGTATTCTCTGCTCATCGATAAGATCACTGAAGGAAGGACCAGGTTTGGTTCAGAGCTGTATTTATAGCCACTAGCATTTTGCCTGAGACATTTACTGAACATATGAAAGAAAAAAGGGAGGAAAAAGTGGGTCTATTTATTTCATAGGCAGGGAGAAGGGAGACAGCAGATGTCCTTGGACTTGCTTACCCGTGTTCTCTGAAATCGGCCCGTCCGTCACATCGGCCCTGTACTAACAACAATATTACCTTTCTGTAGCTTGCTCCTGGCCCCTAGACTTTGCTGATTGGTCCAGAAAGGGGTCATTGACACAAAATGGACCAATCAGAGTACCTTCCTTGGAATTTAGAATTGGGACCCAGAAAGAAAAAACTTGAGCCTCTCGTTATAGATGAGTGTATAGCTTCTAACCTTGGGAGCTGCAAGGCGGCCATGTCTTCCACCGTGTAAACAGGGGGCAAAGGGAGCCAGTCGGCAGAAAGCAAGAACGAGGTGGGTGTGCAAAGAAAAGCCGAGATGAGAAACAAGGAGAAACGGGAGACAGGAAATACTACCTGAATTTCTACCCCCTCCCAGTCCTGGTTCCTGAGGCCCTGTTACAACACCGCCTTTGAGTTCAAGTCCCCCCATCTGTCTTTCCAGTGAATTTTCTCTCTCTCTCTCTCTCTTTTTTTTTAATCTAAGCCAGCTTTGCTCGGTTTTTAAACTTTGGAACCAAAGGCATGTTATCCAGTGACAGTGGAGTGGAATGGGAGGATTCCAGAAGGCTTAGGGTGAGCAAAAGCACTGAGGTCCTAAAGGCCTGGTTGTTTGAAGATGAGGAGACGGAGTCTGGTCCTGCCTTAGCCAAGACAAAGGAATAAGGTCTTGGGATGCTAGAAAATCCTAAGAAAAAAAGGGACCAGATATGATGGAAATAGATCCACCTTCCTCTGGAAATTCCTATGTTTGGAATGTGCCTAAGAAACACAGTAAGGAAACCTGAGAGGCGAGTTCGAGTTCCATCCAGCGAAAGGTGTAAATGAAAATCTTCCAGGGACCTGCACTGTTTAGGCTTTGAGACTAACAAAGCTTAAAAATTTGGCAAGGGGGAGTATGAACAGAGAATGCATATCAGCTCTGAAGAGAGACTGACACACAAAACTAGGACAACTTTTTGTTCATTTACAATGAGATGTAGTGATCACAAGCCACAAATACGTGGTCTGTCTCATGGGACATCCATAGGATCTGATCACAGGACCATAGTGTCTTCCTACACACCGATCAGAATTTACCAAATGCATCCCTACACTCTCCACACAGATCTTAATTTTCCACGATGCTCTTTTGGACTTTCTCAATCACATTAGAAATCTCTAAGTAGCTCCTGGTACATTTTCAGTCTTCTACTATTGGCAGAATCTCATGGCCCAAGGTACAGAACAAATATCCCAGTGTCTTCCTATCCTTTCATACTATGGAAACACAGTGTGGTCTCATCTCCTAGAAACACCAACTCAGTATTTCACACGCTGAATAGATACGTAGGGTGGAGTTCATTGGCTTTACAAAATAGCATGACAAAAATGAAACTTTTTGCAAAGGATTGGGCTTTAAGATCTCTTCAACCTGCCTGCTTCTCTAGCGCAATAAAACACCACATGTTTTTTCCCAAACGGCACTTACACATACCCTCCTAGGAATACATT